AGTTTTAAACAACTGTCAAATCGTGCAAACTTAACTTCAAGGCAGTAACCGCGAAATTCAATCAATTTTGTTATAAAATTATAAATTATAAATTTATATTAAAATACAAATATTTATATCAAAATACAATTAATTATATCAAAATAAACAGGTGTAAGTGGTATTTTGCCTTAAAGTATTTGCATAAATTTTTTATTCAATATTTAAAGATATAAAAAAATTCATATTTTAGTTAAAAGTTTTAAATAACTGTCAAAATTGTGCATCAACTTCAAGGCAGTAACCGCAAAATTCAAATCAATTTTGTACAAAGAAATTATTAAATTAAATTATTATTAAAATGAAAAATGAATATTGTAAAAAACTAGGTGTATATATAGTATTTTTCCTTAAGGCAAGTTGCATATACCTCTTCTTAACATATAATTAAAGATAAAAAGTAAATCCGCCATTGAAAGATTTTAATAACTGTCAAATTGCGCAAACTAACCTCAAAGAAAGAACCGCGCAATTCAAATTTAAAAATGTACATGAATGATAAAATTATAATAAATGCAAGATATAATATAATAATTATTAGTATTATTAAATATGTGATAAAAAATAAAGTAACATACATATATTAAATAAGTTATTAAACAGATGTTTCAAAATTAAATTAAAAATAAAATTAATTATTTATAAATTAGAGTATATTATTAGTTAATAGCAAAAAGTTAATAAAATACACACCCAGCAAATCACGAAACGATATTAAAACGTTATTATAACGTAACAGACATAATATTAAACATATATTATTAAATTTTTTAAAAATGTCCAACAAATACTTTGCAAAATTTTATAATTATATTATCTCAAGTTATTAATTTTAATTAACTATTGAGCTGTTTTTTTATAAAATTATTAAATTAAGTTTTATATTAATTAATATGATAACCATAATTTAATTAAATTGCAATATTTATATTATTTAATATATATATCGATAAGTACTCAAATATTTACGTAATTTGAGTATAATTTACAATTTTTATTTTAACCTAAAATGGTTTTATTTGTTATAATTTTTTATTTATGTAATTATTTGAACATAATAATATAAATATTTTAGTTCAACTGAAAATATCAGATATTACTTAAATAATTTAAGTTAAATTTAAATTAAATTTCAAAATTTATAAAATTTCCATTTCAAATTAAAGATACCCTTTATCATAAAGGTCATCATATAAATTTAACTTCAAAAATTCTTATTAGAATTCTTTTTGTTAAAAATTTTATCATTCTTAAAAATAATTTTGTATATTATTTTATTTCAAATTCAAAAAAAAGTTGATTATTTATACTAATTATTAATTATTATAATTATGAAAATTTTGTGTATTTTTTGCACATTTTATTTAAATAAACATATGACATATTTGTGAAAACAAATGATGTACGTTATTTTTTGATGCACTTTTCTAAATTTTAAATTAGTTTAAATTTAAGTCATTTAAAAATTTTACTGTAGTTTAGTTAATTAAATTAATTCAAGATGCCGAACGAACTGGGAGAAACCATCTTGTATTCTGTAACTATCTTATTTATAATTAATTATTTAAACTAAACTTACAAAATATTAAAAATGCTTGTCAAAAACGTAAAAAATAATAATTAAATTTTAGAAAGAGAATGTTATGATAACAGAATTCTAGATGATGCAGTTATCGTAAGATTCTTTCTTGCTTGTTTATATGTAAAATGCGCCTGATCGCACGGCAAATAGAAAGACATTTTTATAATTTTCAATACCAAGAATACGCTTAAGAGAGCGTTGCTATGACAACTAAATTGTCCTAATTTAATTCAGTATATATATGTAAAAATTACTTCGTGCTCTAAATTTGAATATTATTAAAAAAAAATTATATTTTCACTAAGTATATTCATTATTCCAAATTTGATTCAGCACGTGTTTGCCACAATTTATTAGCCTTGTGTTTCCTTTTCTCTTATCAATGTTTTTATTATTAATTACATATTTATTTACCTTTTTCTAGCAATTGCAACCATGGGGCACAGTGGCCGCTCCGCCCTGCATGGAGCAAGTAAAGGGCCCCCCCAATTCCCACCAGGATCGGACAATATTACGAGACCCCCAGGCCGCACCCTTGGAGACCTACATTGGGCTATGAAACCATACAGGTTATGCCTCTGTAAGAATAAAAAATAATAAAATAATAATAAAATATCAAATTAAAAAACCAATGTTATGGCAAGGCCATGCTACGCCCCGATTTCCATACATTATAATACTTATTCATACTGGATACTAACAAAATGTCATGTATTTGCTGTGCATTCAGGCGTTTCACACATAAACCGCAACGTTACGCGTATGTTATGAAGCTGGGTCAGAAACACCCTGTTATGTAAGATAGTTTTATTGACATTTGTGCGGTTTCTGTTAATGTTAATTTATTGCAACTTTACTATAACACTATAATACTTAATCATACTAAATACTAACAAAATGTCATGTATTTGCTGTGCATTCAAGCGTTTTACACACAAACTGCAACGTTACGCGTATGTTATGAAGCTGAGTCAGAAACGCCCTGTTATCTAACATCGTTTTTTCGACATTTGTGCGGTTTCTGGGTAATGTTAGTTTATTGTAACTTTACTATAACACCATAACTATATGATGCAATGTTGAAAAATCATGTAAATTAATTTCCATGTAAATCGAACATGTTTGAATATTGTAGATAGTGTATTTAGAGACAATAAACGAAGACACTGAGCAAAGTTAACACAATGAATAAAGAAGTTAGATGACGGACCCTTTAGTTATTAATTTATTATTGTCCTTTGTCAGGAATATTATTTTTTGTACATTTATTACATTTAAAAAAAAAGAAAATTTGTGATTAAAAAAATATTAGCGCTATTTCAGAGCATGATACTATATTATAATTTTCCTAAAATTTGATTTGCTAATATTTGGTTTCCTCGATGTTTCAAGCCATTCTGAATCGTTTGGGAGAAAATTTGGGAAAAGTATGTTTTTTGTAGCGAATAGCGAAGGTAATGCCTTTACGAATCCCAGACTAAGTATTTTGTCTGGGTATGTCGGACTCAATACCGACTGGGTATAATACCGACTAATACTTCCGTTAGGCATTACTTCGAAGGGAAAGGATCTAGAATGTTATCATTCTTGCACTGATTTTTTTTTTTTTTTAATGAGGAAAGTCCTGTTTGCTCTTTCTCTTTCCATAGATCGCAGGTCAATTTGCAGGAAAATTTTGTGTGTGTGAGTGTTTAAGTGTGTATGAGATAATTTTTATATTACAATTCGTCAGTGGAATCGTTTTATAATCTTAATTTTCCAGTTTGCTGTTTTATTTGTTGTTTGCCAGAATATTCGGTTTGCTCATCAGTAGAGTCCTTTCTTATACTTTTATTCTTTATTGTGTTTGAGTTTGACCTTCTGTCATTTAAATTTTAGTTTGCACGTCAGTAGAGTCCTTTTTATATTTTTAACTTTTTTGTGTTTTAGTTTTTCATTTTCAAATTAATTTCCCATTGTTTTTTCAAACGTGGCGGCATGTTCGAGCCTCACAAATTGTATTTATTAACTTCCCGTAGGGCAAGTTATATTAATCGCAAAAAAATCGAAAATGAAAATTTTTGCATTTCTCGACGTTTCAAAGGTTTCTAAATATTTTGGCATACCTTAGAAAAAATGGATATATGTGTGTGTGTGTGTGTGTGTGTGTATGTGTGTGTATGTATGTGCGGATACAAATTTTCGTCGACGATTTCGGGAACACCGATCAACCGATTTGAATAATTCAAAAAACTTTCGATTCGTATTGATAAGGAGACGTGCTGATTAGTTTTTGGCGAAGGCAGGTCTAGCCGTTCCGAAGATACGGGGCAAAAAGTGCCAAAAACGGTAACTCAGTTTTTAAGAGAACGGAGCGTCCGATTTAAATAATTCAAAAAACATTTTAGTTGTATTGACAAGGTGAAGAACCGATCAAATTTTCATAAAGGCAGGTCTAGCGGTTTCGGAGATCTAATGAAAAAAGTAAAATAAATGCCATTTGGCGGTCAAAAATGATCATTAGACATATGCACATCAAATTATCAGATCTTTTTTAGAGATTTTAACAATAAGTATAAATTTGGTTTACATTCCTATGGGTTCCGTACCAATGTTTACGCGTTAGACGGCGATGCGGCGCTTACGCGCTTTGATATTTCGTCTTTATGCAGTTAAAGCAGTACGATTGCTTTGAAATAAAGTTTAGATCTTCCAAAATATGTCAAAATAAAGAAAACATTTTTTTAAAAAAAAAAAAAAATTAAAGATGTTTTTTTTTTTTAATTTTTTTTTTTCAAAAAAAGTAATTTTTTGTCCAATTTATAGTTTCTCAAAAATCTTCTTTTTTCGAAGTAAAATTTTTTCAAGAATGTTAATCGTTTTTAAAAAAATAATAATATTTGGTACGGGAAGTTCCAGCAATTTGCCTTAAGGCACGATGCCTTAATTGCCTTAAGACAGAATTCCACTTACAGCTAGTCTATATTTTTATCCACCTGACATAACAAAATAATTTCCTACCCTAGTATAGGTACTAAGCTTGTTATAAAAAATTATTCATAACTTGAACCGTGAACATCAAGCAAATAAATACTATTAATAACTAAATACTATGTTATGTATCTGACAAGCTGAGAAATACGCCTGACAACCCAGTGGCGGCTCCAGGGGATGGTTTACGGGGCTCATGACCCCCTCACCCTGAGTTTGTCTTATAGATAGAACACTAATTCAGCAATTAAATTACTTCAAACACTCCTAAATAATGTGACCCTCCCCTGCGCCAAAGCTGGATCCGCCACTGTCAATATTTAGTATGGAAAGTTCTTCATAACATGGCCTTGCCATAACATTTTTCTCTCTTTATTATTATTATTTAATTTATTTATTATTTTTCAAGTCCCGCCACTCCCCTAACATCCGACATGGCGAGTCCCTGTTTCGCCCCTGGAGGAATGTCGACGGAGCCCCTAAAGTTTCCGAATTTGGTGACAGGGTTTGAGCGTAATCCGGGGCATGCTGCCAGGGCCGCACTCTACACCAGATATACGCCCTACGAATGGGCCCAGGCCAGTATGGGAATATTTAACGAATCAGATACGAATCGGAATTATTCGGAGAGGCTGAGGTGCGATGCTGTCAGGGTTATGAGGTCAGTATAAAAAAATAACTAGTGGTGTATGGCATTGTGCCTTAAGGCAAATTGCTGGAACTTCCTTGCATTTTTATGAATTTTTTTTAGACAAACGGATGAAAAAACCATGCAAGGGCAAAGGGATGCTGGTAGAAGAATTGGAGAGCGGATAACAGATACCACATTTTGGAGAAACGAGGTAATTTTATTATTAACATTTTCAAAAAATTAAATAATTCAGAAGCAAAATTATTTGATAATTAGTTTTACATATAACCCTTAGGTCAGTACAGAATTGGACAGATTAGTGTCAGAAACAGCCTTGTTTGCAGACACCAGAAGACTTTTGGCAAAAACCTTGCAGGATTTGGAGGGTCCTTTGCATATTGCACAGGAATGCTTGTACCAGAGGGAGAGCAGAATGGGTAAATATATATATATATATATAATATATATATATATATATATATATATAAATATATATATATATATATATATATATATATTTATATATAAATATATATATATATATACTAGATGACCCGGCAAACATTGTTTTGCTAAGTAAGGTACATTCTAAACAATTTCTAGAGAATCAAAAATATTAATACTTTTAGTATATAAGGATCAAGTGTTGTTTGAATGCTATATACAATGAGGTATTATAAAAACAATAAACCTCATTAGTTTGTCTATATTTTCTCTGGAAGTTTTATACACTTTATATAGAAAACATGGTATAATCCAATCCAAGTCTTTTTTGGTCTTCCGACTTATTGATTACGTTTCAAGTTTTTCAGATTCTTTTTGGATTCTGGATTTTGTGTATAATTGTAAATAATACTACTGAGCTTTTAAAAAATTTGCAAATTTCTGCGAGGAGAGATAGAAAATGAATTAAGTATTTCTTCTTTGACTTGCTTTTTGAAAAGTCTCAAGTAACATTTAATGAATTCAAGTAAATTTAATAAAAATATGTATTTAGAGCAGGGCGAGGCACAAAGGTCCAATTTGACTTTGAGCAAATATTAATTATATTGTGAAAACCAAAACAATTATATCACAACAAATAACACATTTTAAACGAACAATTATCTGACTACGTTCAGTAAAACTGTCAGCTACTTCATTATTGTAGAAACGTGCTTTTTTGCCTCCTTTCAAAAATTTGTTTTTTTTTTCAAATTAATTACATTTTTAACTAATGCTAAAAAACTACCAACGGAAGAAAATACTTTTATTGTGGATTTTCAAAGATTACCAATCAAGGCCTTATCTATGAATCAAGGTTATAGCTAGTTATACATATTTGTCCCTCTGCTTTCAAATATTGTTGTTAAACAATGCTTAACTTTACTGACATTTTTAACTAACATTATTAACACCTTCATATATTACTATCTATTCTTCGATAAATTCTGGGAAATTATAACTGGGTAAATATTATTCAACAAAATGTTCCTTTGATCGATACCAAAATTAGGTTCTGAATTTAAATAACATAAATAAAAAATAATATAACCTAGGAAATGTTTTATAAATACCAATGAGTATATAATTATACAAATGAGATCTTTCAGAGCACCGTGTTTGAGAAAAATATGCCAAAAAGTGCATTTTTATATTAACATTTCAAAAAAGTTGATATTTTGAGTCTCTAGTAACAATTGCTGCCCTATTACATGGTTTTACTGAATTGCAAATTTATAGCTGTTTCTGTAAGAAACATATGTGATTTTATATTTTCATAATTGAGTACATATATTAGGTAATAACATACTAAAATTTCATAGCTCTAGTATAATATTGTATATTTTTAAAACATTTTTCAAAAGTACTTCTCATATCATATCCAACCGTCGATTTGCAACTAATAAAAATAAAGTATGCAAAGTGTGCATTGCAATTTTTTAGTTTGTTCTGTTAGAAACATATTTGATTTTATATTTTTATAATTTAGTACACATATTAAGAAATAACATACTAAAATTTCATAACTGTATTACAACGCTTTATATTTTTAAAATATATTTTAAGCCGTCAATTTGTTTACGTCAGAACGTTTACTACCGTTTTTGTGTATAAATAAAACTACGAACAAAACTACTTACTGCAATTTAATCATAATTAAATAACATTCACGTAAAACAACCTATTAAACGTAATTGAACATCATCTCTCAAAAACGTTTGACATTTGACGTATTAGCCACCGTCCATGGTTTTATTCAAATTACTCTTCTACAAAAATATTCAAATTAAAAATGTAAAGTTTCTACGCGATTTTGAAATAATATCTTACCTTTCCGACAACCTACTGATTAGCACGAATTTTTCAAGACTAAGACTGGCCAAATCGGTTCAGAGAGTTTTACCGAATCATTTGATCAAGAGCTCCATTTTTATATATATAAGATTATTGGTAAATCTAGATGTTATTTTATTTTTATCTTTTTTTTTAGGTATCGATTTGGTCCACGACGAAGTTGAACAAGCTCTCCTGAAAGAAGTCGAAGGTTTAAGAAGCTGGAAGGAAAAAATCGGTTCTATTGATGCCAAAGTTTTGGCACAGTTGACCAACAACAGGTAAAATAAAGGAAAATAGAGAATAATGCTATGTTATGCTTGTTTATTGCCAGTGAAAACTGTGAACATGTCTATTTATTTGCCGCCTGTGCGATCAGGTGTATTTTACATATAAACAAGCAAGAAAGAATGTTATCTAAAGCTATTGCCGGTACAGTACTCCATGAATTCTAAAAATTAGTAATCTTAAAGATTACGAGGTGCTCTTTAGGAATTTATTTAGTAAGATCTCGGTTCGCTGATCGTGCCATATATTAAATAAAGTAACTGGACATATATAAACATAATGGTAAACAATTTGAGTAGCCCGTTTTATGTTTGAGATACAAATTTTTATTGAAGTCATCGAATCATGTGGAAATCATGCAGGCCGAGATACGATTTTTATGTCAGTAATAATTAATCATAATTTTAGAAAAGTACATTGCTGCTTTTGAATTTCTCTTTAATCGAGTCTTAACTATTTTATCAATTTCATAACCACTTCTAACTTGTAGGGACAGTATTCTCGCCTATCCTTATATTTATTTACTTTGACACCTCGAATTTTAAGTCAGTTTTTTCAAAATATCTCCTTTCCGATTCATCCTCCAATAAAAGTAGCTATTTAAGAATTAAACTAGATAAAATTTCCTACAATTCTTTCGAAAACAGTTTTTTTGTAAAACTAATAGTTTGAGAGTACCGGCGCTTCAAATCTTGGCGGCTCTCGCCGCCATATCGGATCTCCCCATATTAGACTGCACTTTTAACTCTCTAATAAATAAATATTTTTAACGTTTAATAAAATTGTAAAATCTAGTTCATATGTGCACTATTCAATCTGCAATCAACTAACTAAATAATCCATATCCGATGCCAAACAAATGAATTTTCGACACTTGAAACAAAATTCTAAATCATTTAATAAGTAGACATATTTTTTTAATGTTAAATAATTTAGTAAAGTAAACTAAAATGCGACATGCTTAAGTTTAAAAAAAAATTGTAAGTGCAATTTTGTACTTAAAACTGAATTATATAATTGCTTCTGCCAAATATATACGGTTGACTGTATTTTATATTATTTTAATTTCTGGCACATCTCAGCTGCTTTTCGGCAATAATAATGTAGACGTTACATTTTTCTTGTATATTATATTCTAATATTGTCTAGGCTCATAATTTCAGCTAAATTCAAATTACAAGTGAATCGACATTTCTAGCAGATGACAGTTCAAATGTCAAACAATGATAAGTGTTTTTTTTTAATTTTTGCCAAATATTTCTACAATATTACTATAGTTTTATTGTTCATTAAATCTTAAAAATTTCCTTAACAAACTCCAAAAAGATTTATCAAAATTCGAATAAGCGTGTAGGAGAAGTATCAAATCATACAGCCGTACAGAAGAATTTTATATGTATAAGATATTGGGGCACTAAATTATTTTTTATTACCAGGGCATCACAGAACGAGTTGGAAAAAGATTTGAGGTTCAAAGAATCCGCATTGGGCATCGACGGAATGTGTCATCAACTAAATAATAACTCTAGAGGAATAACATACTATGGAGGCATCGAAAGATACGATCCGGCGTAAGTAAAACATGAAACTAGTGGTATATGGCATCGTGCCTTGAAGTAAATTGCTTAGTCACTCAAAAACTGCCATTTTTTGCACATAGGTTGACAGGTAAACTGGTAAATAGGTAGAAATGTAGATTTAGACAGGTCGACTAAAAAACAAGAAAACTGGTAGACTAGATATAACAAATATGCATTTTTGTTCAAAATTTTCAAAAAAATATATAATAAGTCTAATAATGGCCCTTGAACTATTCCTTGAGGAACCCCATAATTGATAAAACGCGACTGTTTCTTGAGATTCTAATTTAATTCTTGCTGTAGTGTAGAAATATACAATTTGTCATACAAATTTTGTTCTCAAGACAAACTTAAGTAAATTTATTATTTACGTTCTATTTTTAGAAATGGTTAAACATTGAATACAAATCACTAACCGCAAATTATTGTAATTTGTAGCTTTGATATAAAATTTTTAATATAATTTCAATAAAAATTAGTGGTGTATGGCATCGTGCCTTAAGGCAAATTCCTGGAACTTTCCGTACCGTAATGAATATATTATTAAAAATACTGTAACTTTCATTATTTTTGCATTATCTTGTTTGTTATATCTGAGCAAATCAAATGTAAATCATTAATCAATTTATCTCCAGAATATTAACAATGGTCATTTCATTTCCAATTCAGTTTAAAAAAAAATAGCTGCCTAATTTACACAAAATTGAAATAATGCTCCCGCATATTCACAGTCTAAACGCACTTGCAAATAATTCTGTGCGACATTTTCACTTATACTATAAACAGTCTAAACGCACTTGGGTAACGCATTTGTACCAGAGTGGCGCTTAGACTGTGCTTAGCCTGGGTCATTTTTTGAATTTTAACTGAGGTATGCCAAAATGTTCAGAAACTTCAAAACGTCGAGAAATGCAAAAATTTTCATTTTCGATTTTCGGCCCATTACTATAACTACCCTACAGGAAGTTAAAAAATATTTACTAGCAGTTGCTTTTTTTTATAAATTGTAGTAAACCAAATAAATCACCAAAATAAATTGATGATGGCACGCATTCGGTGTCGAAACGTACTCAAAAAACAAGAACAGATTGTTGGTTTTCATCAGCTAGTGAAAGATCTTTATTTAGTAAACAAAAGGTGTTTTTATACGGATATCCACCCAATTATTAAAACGAACAAATTGAGTAATGTTTGAAAAAATATTGATGGCACTCATTTAGTGTCGAAACGTATTGGATCCAAAATACGTGCCTAAGTAAAACGTATTTAATAAGTAATAAGTTTCGACCCTAAACGTGTGTCATCACATAACAATTAAAAACTATACATATAAAAATGATTGTTTAGTGTTTTTATTAATATTCTAAACAATTTTTTTTTTAGATTTTTTATGTATTTATCTATTCGATACGTTTAAATAAAAAATAAATACGTATAAATCAAATGTAAATCATAAATAATAAATCAATTTAACTCCAGAACATTAACAATCGTCATTTGATTTCGAATTCAATTTCAAAAAAATAGTTGCCTAATTTGCACAAAATTGAAAAAGTGCTCCCGTATGGTCACAGTCTAAACGCATTGGCAAATAAATCTGTGCGACATTTTTACTTGTACTGTGCGTAGCTTGGCGGCATTTTCACATTTTTCAATAGTTTTCTCACAAATTGGAAAGTGCTCCAACATAACAGTCTAAACGCACTTGGGTAAACATTTGTACCAGAGTGGCGCTTAGACTGTGCTTAGCCTGGGCAATTTTTTGAATTTTTAATACAAAATTACAAAAATATTTTTAGAAAAAAAATGATGTAATAATTATTTATCCTCAAAAGCAATTGTTTTGTCAATACAAGCAAAAAGTCCTTTGAATCATTTAAATCGGACGCATAGTTCTCTCAAAAACTGCCATTTTTTTAACATTTATCTCTGTATCTCCGAACCGCTGGACTACCTTTGCCAATAATTACTTTTTCTCGTCATTACGAGGAACTGAATGTTTTTTGGATCAAATCGGGTGATCCGTTCTCTCAAATACTCGATTTCTATTTTATGCACTCTTTGCTCCATATCTCTGAAACGGCTGGACCTGCCTTTGCCAAAAACGAATCAACACATCTCCCTGTTAATAGGAATCAAATGTTTTCACATTTTTGCATTTGACATTTTGCATTTTCACATTTTTGATAGTTCTCACAAAATTGTAATAAAACAGTCTAAGCGCACTTGGGTAAACATTTGTACCAGAGTGGCGCTTAGACTGTGCTTGGCCTAGGTAATTTTTTCAATTTTTAATCCAAAATTACAAAATATTTTAGGAAAATAAAAAAGATGTGATATTTTTAGCTTCAAAGCAATTGTTTTGTCAATACAAGCAGAAAATTCTTAGTATCATTCTAATCGGACGCTTGTTCACTCAAAAACTGCCATTTTTTGCACATTTAGCTCTGTATCTTCGAAATGGGGGGATCTGTCTTTGCCAAAACTAATACCTCTTCGCGAAATCATTACAAATTGAATGTTTTTTAGATCATTCAATTCCGATACTCCGTCCTTTATCACCCGCAAAAAACTCTTTTTAAAATATCCCTTTCTTCTTAGTGTGACGACTACAGAATCCTGGGCCGAGTACAGCAGTCACGTGGTGCAGAAATCGCAGGCCGAAAGGGCCAAATCCCAACAATTGCGTTCGGACACCGACAGTTTGATTAATATGTGCGCCCAACAGGTTTGGGACGCCTGGAGTTTCACAAATAATGCACTGGCCAGAAGGGCCGCCGAAAGTTTGGAGACCAAGAACAAATTGCAGTTGCACTTGCACAAGGTAAGGGATAAAGGACAATTTATGCCTATATGTATATATCGATTTATACACGTGTATAACTATAGGAATGTTTGTGGATTTTGTCTAAATTCAATATATAAATGTATATATCGATTTATACACGTGTATAACTATAGGAATGTTTGTGGATTTTGTCTAAACTAAATATATAAATGTATATATCGATTTATACACGTGTATAACTATAGGAATGTTTGTGGATTTTGTCTAAATTAAATATATAAATGTATATATCGATTTATACACGTGTATAACTATAGGAATGTTTGTGGATTTTGTCTAAATTAAATATATAAATGTATATATCGATTTATACACATGTATATTTATAAGAATATTTGTGAATTTTGTATAAATTAAATATATAAATGTATATATCGATTTATACACGTGTATAACTATAGGAATGTTTGTGGATTTTGTCTAAATTAAATATATAAATGTATATATCGATTTATACACGTGTATAACTATAGGAATGTTTGTGGATTTTGTCTAAATTAAATATATAAATGTATATATCGATTTATACACGTGTATAACTATAGGAATGTTTGTGGATTTTGTCTAAATTCAATATATAAATGTATATATCGATTTATACACGTGTATAACTATAGGAATGTTTGTGGATTTTGTCTAAATTCAATATATAAATGTATATATCGATTTATACACGTGTATAACTATAGGAATGTTTGTGGATTTTGTCTAAATCAAATATATAAATGTATATATCGATTTATACACGTGTATAACTATAGGGATGTTTGTGGATTTTGTCTAAATTCAATATATAAATGTATATATCGATTTATACACGTGTATAACTATAGGAATGTTTGTGGATTTTGTCAAAATTATATATATAAATGTATATATCGATTTGTACACGTGTATAACTATAGGAATGTTTGTGAATTTTGTCTAAATTAAATATATAAATGTATATATCGATTTATACACGTGTATAACTATAGAAATGTTTGTGGATTTTGTCTAAAACCAATATATAAATGTATATATCGATTTGTACACGTGTATAACTATAGGAATGTTTGTGGATTTTGTCTAAATTAAATATATAAATGTATATATCGATTTATGCACGTGTATAACTATAGGAATGTTTGTGGATTTTGTCTAAATTAAGTATATAAATGTATATATCGATTTATACAGGTGTATAACTATAGGAATGTTTGTGGATTTTGTCTAAATTCAATATATAAATGTATATATCGATTTATACACGTGTATAACTATAGAAATGTTTGTGGATTTTGTCTAAATTATATATATAAATGTATATATCGATTTGTACACGTGTATAACTATAGGAATGTTTGTGAATTTTGTCTAAATCAAATATATAAATGTATATATCGATTTATACACGTGTATAACTATAGGAATGTATGTGGATTTTGTCTAAATTCAATATATAAATGTATATATCGATTTATACACGTGTATAACTATAGGAATGTTTGTGGATTTTGTCTAAATCTTATATATAAAAATGAATCGCAAAATGTGTTGGTAACTCGACAACGCCTGGACCGATTTGGCCAATTCTTTTTTTAAAATGTTCGTTGAAGTTCAAAGATCGTTCTTACGGCGACAATAAATCGAAGAATTGCCAGAAAACCCCTAGAAACAGCCCTTTTTTCTTTCACATACAAACGTTTTTTAACTAAAACGTAGAATCAAGTTAAGCTTTATTGCTATTATATAAAGTACTCCTCCTAAACGATTATTCGGATTTTGATAAATCGTTCTGAAGTTTGTTAAGGAAATTTTCTAAGATGTATGTGATTATAAGGTACTGGTATTTGGGAAATGGAAAAAATTGCAAAAAACGACATGTCATTGTTTAAAGCAGGTCTACATTTAAAATCGCGCATATTATAAATGTATATGCATTTTGGCGTGAAGAGTAATTTAAAAAACAATAATTATTATTTTTAGGTAACCGGTAAATATTAGTATATTATATTAAAAAATTGTAGACATGGGCACAGAACAAAGTCTGTCGGGTCATCTAGTTCAATATATAAATGTATACACGGCACGAATGTTTAATTTGTTTTATTATTTACAAGAAACAGAGTAAAATATTCTTCTGATTCAGGCATTTTTTATTAAATCAATATGTTTACTACGATGTGGCTTTAAAATGTTTATTTTTCAATGCCGATTTCCTTGCCGATATCGGTACGCAAACAACGTTGATGCCGGTACGCATACAACGACAGATCTCGATTCACATACACGACGACTAATCACAATCGACCCGTATAGAAATGATATTACTCAACTCTTATCTTATGTATGTCTCTTATCTTTGTACGAATTTACACCCTAGTCGCGCTTAAAGAAGTTTTACTTCAATAATATATCCTTTATGTTTTTTTCAGACTCAGCAAGAGATATTCGATTGCGAAAAGCACATTGAGCTTTTGAGAAAAGCGATTTTGGACAAAGAGGCGCCCATGAAGGTAGCCCAGACGCGTTTGGAGGCACGAGCGCATCGGCCTAATTTGGAATTGTGCAAGGACCAGGCACAAGAGAGGTAATCTTATATATAAAAATAGAACTTTCGATCAAATGATCGGGTAAAACTCGAAAACGGCTAAACCGATTTGGCCAGTCTTAGTCTTGAAAAATTCATGCTAATCAGTAGGTTGTCATAAAAGTGAGATATCATTTCAAAACCGCGTAGAAACTTTACATTTTTAATTTGAAAATTTTTGTAGAAGCGTAATTTAAATAAAACAATGGACGGTGGCTAATACGTCAAATGTCAAACGTTTTTGACAGATGATGTTCAATTACGTTTAATAGGATGTTTTACGTGAATACTATTCAAATATGATTAAATTGTAGTAAGTTGTTTTGTTTGTAGTTATATTTATATACAAAAATGTGAATAAACGTTTTGATGTAAACAAATTGACTGCTTAAAATATATTTTAAAAATATAAAGCGTTGTAATACAGTTATGAAATTACAGTATGTTATTTCTCAATATGTGTACTAAATTATAAAAATATAAAATCACATATGTTTCTTACAAAAACAGCTATAAATTTGCAATTCAGTAAAATCATGTAATAGAGCCGCAAGTGTTACCAGAAACTCAAAATATGAACTTTTTTGAAATGTTAATATAAAAATGCACTTTTTAGCATATTTTTCTCAAACACGGTGCTCTGAAAGATCTCATTTGTATAAATATATACTCATTGGTATTTATAAAACATTTTATGGGTTACATTATTTTTTATTCATATTATTTGAAATCAGAACCAAAATTTGGTATCGATCAAAGGGACATTTTGTTGAATAACATTTTCCCAGTTATAATTTCCCAGAATTTATCAAATAATAGATAATAATATATGAAGGTTCGGGGTTAAAAAGGTTCACCGCCGATGTGTCAAAAAACCAGTGAAGTTAAGCATTGTTTAATAACAATATTTGTAAGTAGAGGGAAAAAGATGTATAACCAGCTATAACCTTGATTCTTATGACTTTACCATCTGGAGATAAACGGTAATTTTTAGAGGCAAGAAAGATATTACAATGACCACTTTTTAAGGGAAAAAAAGAACTGTACTGACGAGCAAATTATGATATTCCTTCTGCATAAAAAACTCTACCGACGAGCAAATTCTGACATTTTTAGAAAGAAAAACATTCAAATATGAAAAAACGAACTCTACTGACGAGAAAATTCTGGTAATTTTAAGGTAAAAAAAGAACTCTACTCACGAGCAAATTCTAATATGTTTCTGCATAAAAAGAACTCTACTGGCGAGCAAATTCTGATTTTTTATTTTTAAAAAGAATCTTTTGACGAACAAATTCTGGCAATATTAAGGTAAAAAAGAACTCTACTGACGATCAAATTTTGATATTTTTTAAATAAAAAGTATATCTACTGACGAGCATATTTTAAAATTTTTTTAAATAAAAAGAACTCTACTGACAAGCAAATTATGATATGTTTTTAATAAAAAGAACTCTACTGACGATCAAATTCTGATTTAAAAAAAAAAAAAAACTCTACTGACGAGCAATTCTGATATTGAAAAAAAGAACTCTACTAACAAGCACTTTTTTTTTAAATAAAACAAAACTCTACTGAGGAGCAGCTTCAGCAAATATTTTGAGAGAGAAAGAACTCTACTGACGAGCAAATTCTAACATTTTTTCAAAAAAAACTCTACTGACTGGCAAATTCTGACTAACAGAATTCTACTGACAAACAATTTTTTTCAAATGAAAAGAACTCTACTGACAAGCAAATCCGATAATTGTTTGTTTGATATGTGTCAATTGTTGTGATATAATTGGTTTGATTTTTATAATATAATTTAGAATTGCTTAAAGTCAAATGGATCTTTGTGCCTTGCCCTGCTCTACATATATACATTTTATTAAATTTACTTTAATAAATCGAATGTTACTTGAAACTTTTCAAAAAGCAGGTCAAAGAAGAAATACTTTATTAATTTTCTACTTCTCCTCGCAGAAATTTGAAAATTTTGTATAAGCTCAGTAGTATAATTTACAATTATACACAAAATCCAGAATCCAAAAAGAATCTGAAAGACTTGAAATGTAATCAATAAATCGAAAGACCAAAAAAGACTTGGTTTCATTATACTATGTTTTCTGTAGAAAGTGTATAAAACTTCCACTTTGATTGTATTGACAAAATATAGACAAACTAATGGGGTTTATTGTTTTTATAATACCTCATTGTATATAGCATTCAAACAACACTTAATCCTTATACACTTAAAGTATTAATATTTTTGATTCTTTAGAAATTGTTTAGAATATACCTTACTTAGTAAAATAACGTTTGCCGGGTCAGCTAGTATTATTATAAATACTGTAACTTTCATTATTCGTATTTTATAGACAAAATATAAGAGCTTATGAATTGGACGACGACGTCTATATATGTTTACATGAAAATTGATCAAGCCAAGTTAGAATGAAGGACCTTATCTCATATTTCTAAGAATTATATAAACTGAAGTGCAAAGTTAACATTATGATGTCATACATTACTAGTTTTACTTCTGATCAATAATTTCTTTTAGATTGGTGCAAGAAGTCTTCGACATGCAAACCTCAATCGACCAGCTTCACAGAAAACTCCAGGAAACTGAAGCCCAGCACCAGCAATTGCTCAGAACACGATCTAACCTAGAAACTGATCTTCAGTGCAAGGTCAACACCTTGTTTATTGATCGTGAAAAGTGTATGGGGATGAGACGAGCTTTTCCCATAACTGCCACGATTAAATATTAGGATGATAAGGATTTATCATCCTAATATTGTCAATCTCAAGTAATATCAAGGTTAGGCAGGTTGATGGCGACTGAAATGAAACGAGAAGATTTAATATGTAAAATGATAAAAACAGTTTAGTTTATACAGAAGCACAGATTGGTAATTTATTTAGTCTATTATTGTTATTGTTGGGATAGGTTGAAATAAACTGTATCAAAAAAATCAAGGTTAATACAAATTAGAGTTATTTATTAAATTGGTACCAAAGTTTGTGATGGTTCAAAGACAAAGACAATATTTTTATCATTTTTACGGTAAACGTTTCTAGTTAAAAACAACAAATTTTATTTACCTTGTCCATAGTTCACTTTTTACTTCTCAGACTTCTTTCATTTATGTCCTGTGGCCAGTGGCGGATCCAGGGGGCGAGTCACGGGGCTCATGACCCCCCCTCCCTCTCCCGAGCTTTTAATATGTAAAACCAAGAGGATTTTAATATGTAAATTTTATGTACTGTAGGGTTCTATATATTGACCAAGATTTTAGACAAAAAATTTAGCTTAGTAATCTATTTAGTAAATGTTTATTATTGTTATTTATACATAGGTTGAAAAAAACTGTTTAAAAAAAAAAGTTTAATACAAATTCAAATTTTTGTTGGAAATTAGTAAAAAAGGTTTTTGAATTGTACATTAAATTATATTTACCTTGTTATTTGCAGTTCTCTTTTATATATTGTTATATTTTGAAGGCAATTGTTAAAACGCTATCTTATGCTTATTGCTCGGTGTGAAAATGTCTATCTAGTTGCTGTGCGATCAGGCGTATTTTACATACAAACTAGCAAAGAAGAATGTTATTATAACAAAATCTGCAAACATTTTTTCTTGCTTGTTTATAGCTTGGAACATTATAAAATATCGATATATACATTTATATATTGAATTTAGACAGAATGCACAAACACTGCTATAGTTATACACATGTATGAATCGATATATACATTTATATATTTAATTTAGACAAAATCCACAAACATTCCTATAGTTATACACGTGTATGAATCGATATATATATTTATATATTTAATTTAGACTAAATCCACAAACATTCCTATTGTTACACACATGTATAAATCGATATATACATTTATATACTTAATTTAAACAAAAACCACAAACATTCCTATAGTTATACACGTGTATAAGTCAATATATATTTATATATTTAATTTAGACTAAATCCACATACATTCCTATAGTTATACGCGTGTATAAATCGATATATACATTTATAT